CTCTTGACTCCTTTCCTCATCCGATTGAACTTTAACACTCTTGAATCTTCATTCCATTTCCCGTCTCATCTATGGATTATTTGCAACTTGGTCCTCGAACTATCGCTTTGTTCCGTTTTGGTCCTTTTTCGGCTCTTTTCTTTTGAATTCCATCTTTTCCATAGAAACACCTACATAGCATGAATTTAACAAGATTAATCATAAGTCAACTACTTTATCCATGTTTAAGTCATGTTTGTGAGCTAAATAAGTGTGTAAAAACACACTTATCAATGTCACCTCTCTACTGTAGCCACTCTTTCAAGTCAACTTGTCAGTCTACTCCTTACATGTTAGGCTAGGTCGTAGGGTAGTTTCTTTTTAGAAACATTAAATGACCCTGAGTCTAGATCAGATGTAATGATGCCGATGATAAGGCACTTCAACTGTCAAGATGAGGTCACTCGTCTTTTCATTCTACGGTAATCATTCCACATTCCTTAATACAATAGCACAAATGTAGTGTTATATGAAGATAATGTAATTTTATACAGTTGTAGTAATATTGCTCTCTTTCTTATATCGATTTTGTTATTAATCATCAGTGTCCAAACACTTTTGTGATTTACTCGTACCATATGTCCCATACCAAAATATACTCATACAAGTTGGCTAACTTTTTCTACAATTCATGATTGTTTCCTCACCATCGAAGAAGGCCACATGCTTCTAACAATTTGTCTGATATGTAAGAGAAAGGCTACGTGAATGTGAGTGAAGTCGAGATCTCTTCATCACATTACTCCTACAAAAATCGAGATCAATAAATGATTCTCTTGTTCATTTCGCCTTCCCTGTGTACAAGATCATACATAGCCCTTGTTTGAGCTCCATTCTTTTGAAAAAATGTATTTTTCAACAGTATTTTAACATCATTTCAACCATACATCTTTCAATAAAATAATATTATACATAAATTCAAAAAAAAATTTATTTTTTAACCACACATTTCTCATCAATACATTATTCAAAAATTCATTTTGAAATGGGGCTCAAACAAGAGCATAGTAAGGGACATGTATTCATTTTGCCTTCCTCTATAATGTTGTCTAGTTAAGTACTAAATATGCACTCTTTATCTTGAAAATTTCGTTAAATTTGCATAAGATACATTTATAACTTATGCCTCACATCAATGCATAACTTGTGCTTAGCCCTTTTCTTGTGCACAATTCTCAATCTTGACTTGCGAATTATAATTATCAATATCAATTTAGTTAATTTAAAAATAAAAATATCATTTACTAAAAACATCTTTAATAAAAATAAATAAAAGTCTTCCAAATAAAAAATGTCAAACTTAGATCATTTATGGTAAATTCAATAAAATTCAGGCTAATTTTATAAAAAGTAATTGAACTTTAGGTCGCATCACATGGACTCATTGGACTATACAAGAAAAAGAAAAGGTGTTTTAAAAAGCGCAAAGAGTGGTTAGGTTTGAAGAATAAGTTTCAAGCTTTAGGACTTTACGGGAGCCTAAGCAAAATTTAGGAATAAAAAAACATTTTCTTATTTTTAATATTATTAAAATTTTATTCATTCTAAAAATTATTTAATAATTAAAATAATACATATCAAAGATCTAAATTTGCAAAATAGTATATTTACTTAGCCCTATTTGACGGGGGTTAAAATTAGATTTTTAGTAGATTTTGATAAAAATTAATTAAATATGTGATTAAAATGTTGTGGACCACATGAAATATGTTGTTAAAATTAATAGTTGACTTTCACTTAAATTAAAACCTAGATTTTTATTTTTTACAAAATAGGGGCTTAATAATTCTTACAATTAGTCAATTATACAATTTTCAAGTTTTCGAAATTCAAAATCTAGACCATTGCTTGAAGCATGTCATGATTGAACATTTATTATGTTTCCACTCTTCATTTTGCTTATTTAGATTTTCTTTTGTCCCCTCCATCCCTCCCTTCAAAAGTGGCTTTCTTAGTTGGTATTGGGAATAAAGAGCTTATTCTGGGCCATATTGACCAAGAACTTCCAAAAATAGTTTAAATCTATTATTGTTTATGCTATTAAAAGGAATTTCGACTTTATAAATCCATATTGTCAAATATTGATGAACTTTAAATAAAAGGCTGTTAAAAAGAAAAAGAAAAAAATTAATGAAACGTGTCTAGGCGCATCAAGTTGATTGTTTAATTTCGCGCTTACGGTGAAAGATTGGACTTTCGTCCATGTCTTATTCCTAAGCGCTCTTTCGAAGACTAATGAAATGTAAAGTTGGAAAAAAATGAGAATAAGAAATGGTAATGCTATTATCAAGGAAATTTAGCTCATGTTGGACCCTATTTTGCTGTGAAAATGAGTTTTGTACTAGTGGTTGTTTAAATAATGCGTGGTTAAAAAGTAATAATTTTTTTTTTCAGTTTACATGTAAATTATTTTATCGAGAGAATGTATGATTGAAAATGAATTTGAGTAGAATTTACTTAAAAAATGAGCTTAGGCTTCAGTAATTTATGTTTGGTTTTTCTTATCAAGTTTTTAACTTGATTTATGGACATCAAATTGTACATCACTTTTGACATCATTCAAGTTGGCATGATTTGATTGTGAAAAACTGTTTATTTTTTTTGAAACTATCCAATAACGTATTATCACGGGATAAAGATACAAGTACAAAATGTGGTTCATAGAAACTGTACAGAAATTCAAAAAGGGTGACGTGACGTGAAAAGAAAAAGGAAAGGACGATTCACTTGGAGAAAAATTATGAATAAATTCATTACATTCCTTATGTTTTTGTGTTAATTTTCGGGATATAAAAAAGTGAAAATATTACATTTTTAATATTATTTTAAAGTACCCACAGCCTATTTTTTCACATCATTGATTTTGCACGAAGTCATAGCAAATGCTACGGTGTGTCAATGTCGTTCCAAACTAGTATTTCGAGATTTTTGGTAACGAGCTAACTTTAAAAATTTTTCGACGATCGTATGTTAGTCGAATCCATAAATCTTCTATGAAAAAAAAAATCAATTATTTCATTAATGTTTATTATTTTTGAGCCACAAATTTCTCAATATAATTTATATTATTTTATTAGAAATTTTTGCTTAGTGTATGACGTCATTTTTTTTATGTAACTAAATTTTTAATAATTTCCTAAATGATCAAGAGAATTTATTAGATTGTTTAGAAAAAAAATTCATCGGGAGGAAAAAAGTAACAATAAAAAAAAATAAAAATCCTAACACATTTTTTTTAAATATGTATAAATTTTTTAGATGTAAAAATAATTGAAATAAAAAAGTAGTTTAAAAATTTATAACTCATATAAAGTAATAAAAATTTTATTAGGAATTTTTATGTCCAAAAAAAATTACATCATACCACATATTAAATTTCCTAATAAAATAATATAAATTATATTGAAAAATTTATCGTGCAAAAATAATAAACATTAATGAAATAATTGATTTTTTTTTTAAAAAGACAAGTCATGCACTTCTTTTTAACTCAGACGTTTAAGGTACGTTTAATTATTTTCGATGTTCATTTAGATCATTCAATATATCTATGATATAGTTCTCGAAACAAATTTCAAGACGATATAGAAGATTTATGGATTCAACTAGCGTATGATTGTCGAAAAAATTTTAAAGTTAGCTCATTATTGAAAATCTTAAAATACGAGCTTGGAACGGCCTACTTGGACTCGTCATAGCATTTGCTAGGACAATTGGTAGGGTTGGAAAACTCCCGAGCCGAACTCGAACCGAACCCGACGGTTCTTCTCAAATTAAATACCCGAACGGGTATTTGAATCAAGAACCGACGGGTACAGTTCGATTCTGGTTCTAGGCCAAGACCCGAAGAATCGAATAAGAACCGAATCTCCGTAATTTTTTTAATTTATTTATTTTAAATAAGCAAAATTATTTTATTTTTTCTAAATAAATTTATTAACTAGTTAATTTAGTTCAAACCACAACATATGATTTTTCTATTTCTAATTTTTAGCTCAAAATCAACTTAATCAAATTGACCTCAATTTTATCCAAATCTTTTACTGTACTGTAATGTCGTTTCTACTGGAGAAAATCGAATTAAAACTTTATAACATCTCTCTTAATTTTTTTGAGCTCGCTAGCTTCTTTTTCCTGTGATTTTAATATTCAAAATCAACTTAATCAATTGACCTCAATTTTATCCAAATCTTTTACTGTACTGTAGTGTCGTTTCTACTGGAGAAAATCGAATTAAAACTTTATAACATCTCTCTTAATTTTTTTGAGCTCGCTAGCTTCTTTTTCCTGTGATTTTAATAATCAAATTTATTAAGAATTTAGCAAAGAGAGACGTAAAAGATACATAAGATTGAACTACGTTATTTTGTAAGAGCTAATATTGAACATATCATTAATTAAATTAATGTAACTTTGTATATATTAAAAAATTTAATTATAATACGAAACCGAATGGAACTGAAGGGGACCGAACCGAATCGAATGGAACCGAACCCGAACGGTTCCATAATTAAATTTGGACCCGACGATTCCACTTACTAAATACCCGAAAATTTCGGGTCTATTCGGTTCTTGTTAGAATCAAACCGAATAATCGAAACGAATCGACTCGAACCATATCCAGCCCTAACAATTGGTTCTTGCAAAATTAACGGCGTGAAAATTTGGCTATGAGCACTTCAAAATGATAATAAGAATATAATATTTCGACTTTATTTAATATGTTGCAAAAATAAAAAAATTTAATGAATTTATTCATATTTTTCCTTCCCCACGTCACTCTGTATTGAATTTTTGTACAATTTCTGTGAACCACGAGTGCCACATGGCAAAATGTAAAACCACCGTACTACAGGAACATCGAATTTGATATTGGGGATGATCGCATACTTCACGCGAGACCCACACATCTATGAGTGGGCGGTTGCAGTCATTCTCGCCGATGTTTGGCTTTATTCAACGTAAAAAGTTATGCTCACGGAACATGATTGTTTTAATTTGGGGTTTCCCCCGACGCAATCCACATGACAGCAGTCTCGCTATTTCATAACCACCCACTATAAAATTTCTTTGAGCCCATCAGCCAAAAGCAACTCGAAGCTTGTACATACGCATAGAAAAGCAGATGGCTGGGTACAGGGCTGAAGATGAATATGATTACTTGTTCAAATTGGTGCTGATAGGCGATTCTGGAGTGGGAAAATCCAATCTTCTATCAAGATTCACCAAAAACGAGTTCAACCTTGAGTCCAAATCCACTATTGGAGTTGAGTTTGCCACCAGAACTCTTAATATTGATGGTAAAGTCATCAAAGCTCAGATTTGGGACACTGCTGGCCAAGAAAGGTCTCCTTCCCTTTTTCTCTATTTACCAAGATTCAATTTTTCATTACAAGGATCTTTCTCTGTTTTTATCGGTACCCAAATGTTGTTAAGTTGGAATTTTCTCTTTCGTTTTTACATTTTATATGACTTGTTATTATCTTATTTGGAGATTGCTGTTGCATCTTTTGAGATTCAATTTTTAATAAAGTGTTATTGTCAATATGTGTGGCTTGAGATTATTATTATTACTCCTAACTTGTGCTGATTGTTATAAAAGAGTAATTTAAATGATGAATTTTTTTCTGTCAAGATAAACTTTTTATTTTTTTTTATTTTTTTTTCATTTTTTTAAATATGGGATTCATATTTCATATGTCATTGCTATATTGTTCGGAGAGGAGGCTGAGATGTTATGATATGAATCATATTGCTGTTCGGGTTCATGAGGGTCTAGTGGTTATACTGATTTGTAATTTGGTTTACTGAGCGAGATTTGATGCATAATTGTGGAACCTGTATGCTGAATTTCAAGTGACATTTTTTGCTTAATTTGTAATGTGGACTGTATTTTATGTTCTATTGAGTTGCATCTTAGGTAAGGGAGAGAAGAAAGAAACCTTTTTATCTCCAGACTTCTGTTTGACTGCTGTATGCATTCTTAATTGGTCTCGTGCTACTTAGTTTTGATCGTGTTTAAGATCAGGGAAGGTAGTATCTGGAACCAATCTCTACTCTCAAGTGCTAGCTCTGCACCTTCTGATGCAGTTTAGCTTGGAATAAAGCTTCAAAGCTTTTACCAATCGAACTGTCCAACTTTCTTGTTTTCACTTATTTGAATTCATTTACTTATTTCATTTGAATTGCTATATTATGGTGATATATTTTGTCACCCTCATAAATGTGGTGTTTTTTAAAGCCAATTAAGCTCACTTTAGTAGTCATTTGTCTTAAACATGACCACGTTAGTAATGTGCGATTGAGTTTCCGTCCTAGGTTCCTTCTTTCTTGTCACTTCTCCTCTCCAGTTCTGTTTTCAAGAGAAAACGAGGGTGGTGACTCCCTTTTCCCCCCTCTTTATCTCTTTGATGATTCATCATCTTTTTCTTCTTACCGTCTCTTATGGGTTTTGCTGTGTCAACCCTGATGTACACATAGCAAAACTCTTATCTTATAGGCTTCATCATCTTGTCCATATACTAGCATGATACCAAGACATGGGGAATTGGAAGCCTCAGAGTTCCTCAATTGGGAGCTTAAAAAAATCTTTCTATTTGTCTGTATGGCGTTAAATTAATAATTTGGTGATTGTGTACTCCTTTCTCCCATATGAGCCCTCAATTTTTTTTCTTAGCTTTTCTTTTGGGCTGCTATGTGGTTAATTACAAGTTAGTTGTTCAACTTCAGTCTCTCTGTTTTTTAGTGAATAATTCATTAAAATTTAGCTATAATCCACTATTCTTTTGTGCTTCTGTTGTCGTTAATGTAGAGAGTTAATTGTTTTATGTTACATATACATGAAGGATAATCCTATTTGCCCTTATGACTAGGATGAAGAATCAAAAAATGGGAAGGTTAAGGAAATTGGCTCGTCATATATTTCCTAGTTTCCAAGTTGACTGCAACCTTGAGGGGTAGCTCAATGATCAGGTCTTGGGTTTGCTCCCCAATGATCTCCAGTTCGAGTCCTCTCAGAGCTAATGAGTTGAGTACTTGACTGTAAATTTCAGGGTCCCGTCATTAAAAAAATAAAAGTTTCCAAGTTGACCGCCATGGTTAAAGTTCGCACGAACAATTTGGTAAAAGATGAGAACAAGCTGGTTATTTTTAGTTACTCCGAGGATGTATTTACTATCTTGATTTGTGAAAATGGGTCGACGTGTTTCTATTTATTGTAGATAGTACAAATGGGGAATTGTTTTATGAGGGTAGCTTGGGAAAAAAATTGTAATCTTCTTTTAGGAAAGTTGACACCAAGATTTGATATCTTGAAAAGGAGGTGAAGAAATTGAATTTAGAATTAGGACACATTGTGACATAGCTAGCGGGTAGGAATAAGTCATCAGAAGTCATTCCGGTATGTAATACAAGAAACCTTGAATGAGATTCGTTATTCATTGCTCATATCCATTGCATCCTTTTATTACATATGTCGCATTTGCCCATCAGTTTTAGATTGTAGATGATTCGGGCTTATGGAATTCAAAGAATCTACAAATCATGAGTTTCTATCCCCTAATCATTTCTTCAGATTCAGTGGTGAGTTTGGACATCACTAGATATTGTAGTCTATGAACCTTTACGAGATGTGGTGACATTTCAGTCATTAAAATGGGATTTTGGTTTAGCCATACTAATTCCTTCCAAGAGATGTAAACATTAATCATGAGCTAGTGAAGCAATGTGTTGCAATGTAATGCACCTCACTGAGATCAAAACTTGACCAAAAAGTTGAAGCTGTTGGGCTGCGGTAAGTTTCTTAAAACCAAGTTGGAAGAGAAGGAAGAGTGGCCACCCGACAAAGTAAAACTGAGTAGAGGAAAGTTAAAAGCAGGACATTGAGAAAAGTTTTTTTATAGACAGCTTGTTTGAGCGCCATTATTTAGAAAAAATGCGTTATTCTACAGTATTTTGACATCATTTCAACCACACATTTTTTAATAAAATAATATTACACGTAAATTCAAAACTTTTCCTTACTTTTTAACTATACATTTCCCATCAATACACTATTCAAAAATTCATTTTTTCCTCCAAAATGGGGCTAAAAAAAGGGGTATAGTTGCAAAAGGCATCTCAATTTTTTAGAGACCATTGTCATCGAACAGAAATTTGTGATTTGGCAGAAAAGGGGGAACTGGACTAACATGTGGTTTTCCGCTGAACATCAAGGTTTCCTTTGCCGTCTATATAGAACATGTAAAGCCCAACACCGAGCCTAAGGATTATTAAGTCAGAGGTGGTGAGCTGGCCTCCCATATAGACAAGTTTTAACAGATATGCTGTTGTTGCAAGGTTTATTTGTCCAGGTATGGGCCACATGGCTGGCGTGAGTTTTGATGTTGGTAATGTGTGATTAGGTTAGATAGATTTAATTGTTCTATTTTACTTTTACCTTGTTTCATTCTTTTGTAATTAAAGACATTTTATCTTTAATTCTTCCTTTTCTTTTCCTATTTACAAATTTCTGTTCTATTAACCATAAACTTCTCTGTGCATGATAGACAACTTATCCATCTATTGAAAATATTGATGTCCCTGGTAATTTTTTGGAATTTATATTATTTTTTGCAATAATTTGATTTTTAAAATGATGGAAGAAAAAGGTTTAACATATTGTTTTTGTGAAATGCACACGTCTCTTCATCTAAAATTATCTTCTTGATGTATATTTCTGCTATATGTTTTTTTCATCAATATAATAAACAAAGTACATTATAAAGAAACTGCTGTGGCTGTAAACTAAAATAATCACTTATTTCCCTGAATAAATCATTCTGCTACTAGTGCGGAAATGTTACCACTTTACCCATTGTCCTGTGATGTATGTGGTTACTGGAGCCAATATCATCCAACATACTCAAACAAGAGAGAAGACATTTTATGTAATCTCCTCCCCCTCTCTGCAGCGCAAGTGAACTAGGGGAAAAAGTGGTAGGAATAAGGAACGTTGAGCTTTCCAAGTCTAACTCCTACTCTTTTATTAAATGGTGCGATACTTTTGCTGTCTTTCTAATGATTGAATCAATGGCCCCAAGATATTCTTAAGCCATGCCTATTGGGTGAGGCTTACATGTCTGAAGGCATTCAGTTCATAAGGTGTATGCAAATGTCTTCAGTGTCATCGACCTCTGGATACGAGGCTTCATAACGTGTATGTGAATGTTTTCAGTGTTATAGGCCTCTGGATACTATGCAGGCTGAGTTATACAAGTCACTCTTTTTTATTACTCTATCATGAGGTAAATACCTCGTGGTTCCCAGTTTAGATGAGCATGATGAATAACTTAGTTTCCTTGTGGTTGCTTTTGGACATATTAGGTTAATAAATGTTTAGAGCATGTCACAAATGTCTATAAGATCTCCCCATATCTTCAGTATGCTCGCCCTTTTCTCTTTGATATAGACTCCATTGGATGCTCCTCTTTGTGGTCACTCGATTGAGCTTCTCCATTTTTTCTATCTCCATTTTCTCTTAAAAGCTGTAAAAAAATAAACTGCAAGTATTTTCCTTGGAAAGATCAGTTTTCTGGTATCTTCCTTCAAATTATTTTTTTGATTCATCGAGCTTCTGTCTTTCTTCGTACTTTTCTGGAAGCTATCCTCTTCCACAAGATCCGAATTTCAGTCTGAAGTTTGCGTCAGCATTCTTACACTTTCAAGTCCAAGGGTAAATGAAGCTTTTGAAACTAGTTCAAACTTCTAATAGTCGTCACCATCTTCGCGCCCAAAGAAATAGCTTAGAAGTGTCATTAGCAGTGATTGGAATTGTCTCCATTGGTCATGGAGTGTTGGTTTTATACACACAGAGGTGACCGCAGTGAGCAGAACTCTCAATCATGGGCCTTCTAAAGCAGTTACTGTAAATTCACTTTGGGAATCAAAACAGTAAGACCTCAAAGTGTCCATCATCCATCAATAAAGTGACGGCTTTCTATATCTTCTCCACCTCCCTTTTAAATGGAATACTCTAGGACTAGACTAGAATTATTTACTATTACTTCTGCCTTTGTTTCATCATTTCCAATTGCAACTCACTGGCCCTTTACTAGAAAGTAGATCCACCTAATCAATGAAAACTCAGACCAAACTTGTCAATCCTTTGGGCAAAGGGATGCAGGACTTCTCATCCTTTAACTCATCAGAGTTCGCTAGCGAGCTTTTCTATTTCTCTTATGTTCTTAACTTGTTCTCTCTCTAGTCTTTGGCTAGTCAGTCCTTTTTATTTTTCTTGCAGTGCTAGATCTGTTTTTCAAGTGATGTGCATCTCCTTAAAAAACCTGTTCTTTCGGAAGATATCTATCTTTTTGTCCTGTATCATACACATTTATGCATATAACATTACAGTGACGGTCTAAATCTGATCCCAATAAAATTGGGTTGTTTACAGGAATCATTTTTGCAAATCCATTTGATTTAGTGCAACATCTATAAAAAGGTCTAATGGATTAGCAAATATATTGTTTCATGTTAATTTATGTCCACCTATACTTCTCATAATCAATTTTTCTAATGCTGTGAATGAGAGCTTTTTTATACAGATGCAATACTTGCCGAGTGTTCTTTTTGTTAATTTAGCCTCAATATGCTACTTGTATATGTCTTTATTTCACATTTTATCCCATTCTAATTTGGTCAATAATCATCTTAATGTCCTTACCTATCTAGTTGTCATTTTGCTTCATAATCCAGTTAAAGTTTCTACCATTATGTGGAACTTGTCTTTCAACTTGACAGGTATTTCCAATTAAGTAATATTCATGTTGCACTACTCGGTATGTCTAGCCCACTCGAATTTTATACATTCCATCTTTTTCACGTCTTTTTGTTAACAATCGAATCTAAATATCTAAAATAATCAATTTTTGGGACAGGATGATTTCTATAAAGGCGCTACCATGTTCTTTGGGACATGGCATCTTTGCCTCTCTCTTTTTTTTTTTTTGTTTGGTTTTTTTTCCCTTGTGTATACTTTAAAATTTTCACATTGACAGTGCAAAGAATATTTGCTCTTTTCTTACTGCATCCTTCATCCAGTTTTTACCAGAAAAAATGCTAAAGTTCCTTGCTGTATTATATTTTTCATCTTGTATACCGCTCTATTGGACTTCATGTGAGAATTTTCTTGTTTCCTCTTCTCAGATATCGTGCCATAACTAGTGCTTATTATCGAGGGGCTGTTGGTGCTTTGCTGGTATATGACGTGACTCGACGTCCTACCTTTGAGAGTGCTGTGAGATGGCTGAAAGAGCTGAGAGATCATACAGACCCGAATATGGTAGTAATGCTTATTGGCAACAAATCAGACCTACGACATCTGGTGGCCGTTTCAACTGAGGATGGTAAAGATTTTGCAGAGAGGGAGAGCCTCTACTTCATGGAAACTTCTGCATTGGAAGCAACTAACGTCGATAATGCATTTACTGAAGTCCTTACTCAGATATACAGGATTGTGAGAAAGAAGGCTGTCGAGGCTGGTGATGAGACTGCTACTTCGTCTGTTCCATCTAAAGGAGAGACGATTAATGTCAAAGATGATACTTCTACTTGGAAGAGACTAGGATGTTGTTCGAGCTAGGGAATTATTGCTCCTGCTGCGTAGTTTCTTGTACATTTTCTTCACATCATCTTTCTCCTTTTCTGGTTTGTTTGTTCACTGTATTCTGTTGAAATATTGATTAGTACACTAGCCACAAAAATAGACTACAGGTATATTTCGTGGCTGCGAATGACGATATAGTTTGATTGGCTGGCTCATAGAATGTGAAGGCAATGTCTTCTACAATATGATCTGGACCGTGGTTAGGGAAACCTTGACTTTCGATGAATGTTCGAGGCTTCGACTAATGTTGAGTACCTTTACATGATAAACCTCAACTAAAACTAAAAATTTATGAGTAATGATATTATACAATGTGGTTGACGGGGGAGATTAAAATCGCTTCAATTTTAAAATCAAATGGATGCTCTTGGAATGAAAAATTTTTCCATCTTCATAAGTAAGACGGTTTTCTAATAACTAAAGTAATATCATTTTACATTACTAGTGTTAACATCAATTTAGTTTATAACATTTGTGACATTAAAAATTACGTTCAATGAAATATAAAAAATATTGGCCTAATTAATAAGACTTGTTATATTCTAATACCTAAACTAGCATTTAACACTATTAGTACTAAATAACATTATTCAATAATTGACAATTTAAATATACGTCAATCAAGTTCATCAATTAAATTTCATTCCATTACATTTTACTTTTCTTTCTTCTATTTTCAATCACACGATCTTCCATAAAATAATATTGTACTTAAATCGAAAATTTTTCCTTCAATTTTCAAATAAACACTATTTCATCCATTTTTATTTCCAAAAAGGGGGGCGAACGGGGCCAATTGATGATGCTGGCCAATGTCTGATTTAAGCTTTTAAGTCAACGGCGTAGTGTGAATAAAACAGGCTGATGGTGGTGCAAGAAAAGAGTTGAAATTTTTGTTTTCTGGTCACGTGTTATGTTTAATGGGACCAATCGATGGGACAACACGTAGGTATATTACAAACATTCTTTCGAGAAGAATATATAAACTTGGTCAGCTAGAATTAACATTTGAACAAATTATTTCACCATGAAATTTATGCTTGTGACATGTTTCTTAGTTATAATCCAGAGTCTTGATGAATTATATGAAGGAAAAGGCTAAGATAACTCGATAAATTAGTTAACCAAATAAAAAGGTTAAACTAAATTTACTTGATAAAAATAAAAGTAACAAAGTGAGATAAAATAAACTTGCCTTCAACACACATTAATGTAAATATCTAAAACTTTGAGCTCAAAAATAACAGATGATTGTCTACAAAATGCTTAGATCTCAAACATTTCTAGTACTGCTTTCAAATTAATTTGTAATGTTGGACGACTTATTGAGGATAACTCCTTCATATTTAACCTGGAACCACTTCATTGCATCCTCCTTTGTGACCCTGTGCTGAATTCCAACACGAGATTTGCATCTACGACGACGGCCCACACGGTAACCAGGGCGCTCCAAAACAACGTAGAAATCCATGCCATAAATTCCAGTTGATGGGTCATACCTGGAAAATTCATAGACAACGATAACTTGTTTAATGATGATCTCTTTAAGAAATTTGTTGATTGGGAGGGGAACTGAGCCTAACCTCTAGCTAATGAAACCAATACAATAAAACTTGCCAAATCGAAATGACCAGGTGTAAAAGAAAATATAATGGAAGGGGCTTCAAGGCCCATATGCTACAGACATCCAACCCTAGACCAACATCTAGTAGTAATATCGTGATGAGATGTAATTTTCGTGGGTTCCATGTTGGTATTGGGGTGATGTATGGGTCGAAAGAACATATTTATGCACTGAAACAAGATTTCAACCCATTGCAAGACCATGCGCTCACGATTATTCACAGACCACCAAACTGAACACCAAATAGCTCACGTGACACGGTCATGTGACATCCAAAACACTTTGATCCAATAAATGATCAGGTAACAAATATCATGCAGAAAAAAGAACAACTCCTAATTAAAAAAAGTGGTTGGGTCCTCACATTTATTGATGGATAAAATTTTCAGGGTGCACATAAAACATAACTATTACCAACTCCATCTGAAATTTCAGCAAAGATTACAAAATTTTTAGATACATCATGAAACAGTCTCTAAAACTGAGGGATAGCAATATGATAATAGGGACTCACTTGATTCCAAGATCAATGTGCTCCTGAATGCCAAAGCCAAAACAGCCGGTGTCACTGAAATTCCTTCTCAACAACTCATATTCCTTGACCTTCAACCCACTCTCAAGAAGCTGCATTGCTTTGTCACCTCTGACTGTTACATAGCACGCGATCTTTTCATTACGCCTGATCCCAAAGGACCTCACAGTGTATCTTGCTATGGAACAAATCAAATAAATCCATTAAAAATGAAATACAAGGAGGAGAAATGAAAATTTCATTTCCTTTCATCGTTACATATTTTGATTTTAAAAGATAAAATTAGGAATAGCAGGCACATAAACCACTGTTCAATCATCAGATTATGAAAAATCAGCTGATCAAACTTTTAATAATGAAATAACTACAGCTAATTTCATTTTGCATTTATGGACTTTGAAAGAATAAATAAAATAGTTTAGGATAAACATGCTTTTGCATCTAATTACCAATCTCAACAAAATATTAATTCTCAGCAGAAAGAATGTTGAGGTTGCTCTACACAATTGAGAAAACTTCTAGCCAGATTTCATTTTCAGAGCTACCACTAAGGAAAATTTACAAACTTTCAGTATCGTAATCTACCATCGAGCAGAACAGTACATTATCAGTTACTAATATACCCATTCGCTTATGACTTTCACAATATGGTAAACAAGAATAGAACTTTGCAGATATTAAAGCTACAAATTGCATCATGTTAAAGCAAAAATTTTAAAATTACATCCATTTACAATAAAAGAGTGCTTAATATTTCTAAATTAGGCGAGATCCAACACAATTGAGAACTAGAAGCCCTATTTCATTTTTAGAGCTACCATTCGAAAATTTGCAAAGTTATCAGTCTCATAATCTATCATCAAGTCATAAAGCAAAGCAGTATATTATCAATTACTAACATAAATCATTCGCAGACAGTAAAGCTACTACAAATAATAGAATTTCATTTCAGAAGCCCCTACAATGTAGATTCAGAATTTGAGAAACTTACCCTTAGAGAAAACAGGAGATTGGCTACTGAGTTGTTCTAAAACCTGAAAAATGAAAAATAAAAACAAATTGAGCTCAAATTCCAAAATATTCAATAAATAGAATTGTTGGGGGGGGGTGGGGTGGTATTATACCTTAGCGGCTCTGGTAAGACGATCTCCACTCTCGCCAACGGAGATGTTGAGGACAAGCTTCTGTACTTTGATCTCTCTCATTGGGTTCGACAGCTTCTTCTCTGACGCCTGTTTCACACATTTAAACACAGACAGAGAATCACTGATGCGCTGAGATTCATATATGTATGTTCGAAGCAAATGTAGAGAGAGAATGACAGCAGTGAGATAGAGACCATAGCGGAGCCGTGGTTGTGATGAGGTTCTCGGCCGCCGGACGACTGGGGAATATGATGAAGTGACAAAGCCCCAACAAGTATAATATTAGATAGGAGCCAGGGTTTCTTATGCGTTTTGCTTGGATATTGAAATGTCAGTTTTATCCCTGTGAATTAGGGATGTTAATGGGCCCCACTGGTCCGGCCCATTGATATGGTCTAGTCAGGGTCATCCAATTTTTCAGGACAAAAAATTCAGACATACAAATTAATTTTCTCTATTTACCAAGATTCAATTTTTCATTACAAGGATCTTTCTCTGTTTTTATCGGTACCCAAATGTTGTTAAGTTGGAATTTTCTCTTTCGTTTTTACATTTTATATGACTTGTTATTATCTTATTTGGAGATTGCTGTTGCATCTTTTGAGATTCAATTTTTAATAAAGTGTTATTGTCAATATGTGTGGCTTGAGATTATTATTATTACTCCTAACTTGTGCTGATTGTTATAAAAGAGTAATTTAAATGATGAATTTTTTTCTGTCAAGATAAACTTTTTATTTTTTTTTATTTTTTTTTCATTTTTTTAAATATGGGGTTCATATTTCATATGTCATTGCTATATTGTTCGGAGAGGAGGCTGAGATGTTATGATATGAATCATATTGCTGTTCGGGTTCATGAGGGTCTAGTGGTTATACTGATTTGTAATTTGGTTTACTGAGCGAGATTTGATGCATAATTGTGGAACCTGTATGCTGAATTTCAAGTGACATTTTTTGCTTAATTTGTAATGTGGACTGTATTTTATGTTCTATTGAGTTGCATCTTAGGTAAGGGAGAGAAGAAAGAAACCTTTTTATCTCCAGACTTCTGTTTGACTGCTGTATGCATTCTTAATTGGTCTCGTGCTACTTAGTTTTGATCGTGTTTAAGATCAGGGAAGGTAGTATCTGGAACCAATCTCTACTCTCAAGTGCTAGCTCTGCACCTTCTGATGCAGTTTAGCTTGGAATAAAGCTTCAAAGCTTTTACCAATCGAACTGTCCAACTTTCTTGTTTTCACTTATTTGAATTCATTTACTTATTTCATTTGAATTGCTATATTATGGTGATATATTTTGTCACCCTCATAAATGTGGTGTTTTTTAAAGCCAATTAAGCTCACTTTAGTAGTCATTTGTCTTAAACATGACCACGTTAGTAATGTGCGATTGAGTTTCCGTCCTAGGTTCCTTCTTTCTTGTCACTTCTCCTCTCCAGTTCTGTTTTCAAGAGAAAACGAGGGTGGTGACTCCCTTTTCCCCCCTCTTTATCTCTTTGATGATTCATCATCTTTTTCTTCTTACCGTCTCTTATGGGTTTTGCTGTGTCAACCCTGATGTACACATAGCAAAACTCTTATCTTATAGGCTTCATCATCTTGTCCATATACTAGCATGATACCAAGACATGGGGAATTGGAAGCCTCAGAGTTCCTCAATTGGGAGCTTAAAAAAATCTTTCTATTTGTCTGTATGGCGTTAAATTAATAATTTGGTGATTGTGTACTCCTTTCTCCCATATGAGCCCTCAATTTTTTTTCTTAGCTTTTCTTTTGGGCTGCTATGTGGTTAATTACAAGTTAGTTGTTCAACTTCAGTCTCTCTGTTTTTTAGTGAATAATTCATTAAAATTTAGCTATAATCCACTATTCTTTTGTGCTTCTGTTGTCGTTAATGTAGAGAGTTAATTGTTTTATGTTACATATACATGAAGGATAATCCTATTTGCCCTTATGACTAGGATGAAGAATCAAAAAATGGGAAGGTTAAGGAAATTGGCTCGTCATATATTTCCTAGTTTCCAAGTTGACTGCAACCTTGAGGGGTAGCTCAATGATCAGGTCTTGGGTTTGCTCCCCAATGATCTCCAGTTCGAGTCCTCTCAGAGCTAATGAGTTGAGTACTTGACTGTAAATTTCAGGGTCCCGTCATTAAAAAAATAAAAGTTTCCAAGTTGACCGCCATGGTTAAAGTTCGCACGAACAATTTGGTAAAAGATGAGAACAAGCTGGTTATTTTTAGTTACTCCGAGGATGTATTTACTATCTTGATTTGTGAAAATGGGTCGACGTGTTTCTATTTATTGTAGATAGTACAAATGGGGAATTGTTTTATGAGGGTAGCTTGGGAAAAAAATTGTAATCTTCTTTTAGGAAAGTTGACACCAAGATTTGATATCTTGAAAAGGAGGTGAAGAAATTGAATTTAGAATTAGGACACATTGTGACATAGCTAGCGGGTAGGAATAAGTCATCAGAAGTCATTCCGGTATGTAATACAAGAAACCTTGAATGAGATTCGTTATTCATTGCTCATATCCATTGCATCCTTTTATTACATATGTCGCATTTGCCCATCAGTTTTAGATTGTAGATGATTCGGGCTTATGGAATTCAAAGAATCTACAAATCATGAGTTTCTATCCCCTAATCATTTCTTCAGATTCAGTGGTGAGTTTGGACATCACTAGATATTGTAGTCTATGAACCTTTACGAGATGTGGTGACATTTCAGTCATTAAAATGGGATTTTGGTTTAGCCATACTAATTCCTTCCAAGAGATGTAAACATTAATCATGAGCTAGTGAAGCAATGTGTTGCAATGTAATGCACCTCACTGAGATCAAAACTTGACCAAAAAGTTGAAGCTGTTGGGCTGCGGTAAGTTTCTTAAAACCAAGTTGGAAGAGAAGGAAGAGTGGCCACCCGACAAAGTAAAACTGAGTAGAGGAAAGTTAAAAGCAGGACATTGAGAAAAGTTTTTTTATAGACAGCTTGTTTGAGCGCCATTATTTAGAAAAAATGCGTTATTCTACAGTATTTTGACATCATTTCAACCACACATTTTTTAATAAAATAATATTACACGTAAATTCAAAACTTTTCCTTACTTTTTAACTATACATTTCCCATCAATACACTATTCAAAAATTCATTTTTTCCTCCAAAATGGGGCTAAAAAAAGGGGTATAGTTGCAAAAGGCATCTCAATTTTTTAGAGACCATTGTCATCGAACAGAAATTTGTGATTTGGCAGAAAAGGGGGAACTGGACTAACATGTGGTTTTCCGCTGAACATCAAGGTTTCCTTTGCCGTCTATATAGAACATGTAAAGCCCAACACCGAGCCTAAGGATTATTAAGTCAGAGGTGGTGAGCTGGCCTCCCATATAGACAAGTTTTAACAGATATGCTGTTGTTGCAAGGTTTATTTGTCCAGGTATGGGCCACATGGCTGGCGTGAGTTTTGATGTTGGTAATGTGTGATTAGGTTAGATAGATTTAATTGTTCTATTTTACTTTTACCTTGTTTCATTCTTTTGTAATTAAAGACATTTTATCTTTAATTCTTCCTTTTCTTTTCCTATTTACAAATTTCTGTTCTATTAACCATAAACTTCTCTGTGCATGATAGACAACTTATCCATCTATTGAAAATATTGATGTCCCTGGTAATTTTTTGGAATTTATATTATTTTTTGCAATAATTTGATTTTTAAAATGATGGAAGAAAAAGGTTTAACATATTGTTTTTGTGAAATGCACACGTCTCTTCATCTAAAATTATCTTCTTGATGTATATTTCTGCTATATGTTTTTTTCATCAATATAATAAACAAAGTACATTATAAAGAAACTGCTGTGGCTGTAAACTAAAATAATCACTTATTTCCCTGAATAAATCATTCTGCTACTAGTGCGGAAATGTTACCACTTTACCCATTGTCCTGTGATGTATGTGGTTACTGGAGCCAATATCATCCAACATACTCAAACAAGAGAGAAGACATTTTATGTAATCTCCTCCCCCTCTCTGCAGCGCAAGTGAACTAGGGGAAAAAGTGGTAGGAATAAGGAACGTTGAGCTTTCCAAGTCTAACTCCTACTCTTTTATTAAATGGTGCGATACTTTTGCTGTCTTTCTAATGATTGAATCAATGGCCCCAAGATATTCTTAAGCCATGCCTATTGGGTGAGGCTTACATGTCTGAAGGCATTCAGTTCATAAGGTGTATGCAAATGTCTTCAGTGTCATCGACCTCTGGATACGAGGCTTCATAACGTGTATGTGAATGTTTTCAGTGTTATAGGCCTCTGGATACTATGCAGGCTGAGTTATACAAGTCACTCTTTTTTATTACTCTATCATGAGGTAAATACCTCGTGGTTCCCAGTTTAGATGAGCATGATGAATAACTTAGTTTCCTTGTGGTTGCTTTTGGACATATTAGGTTAATAAATGTTTAGAGCATGTCACAAATGTCTATAAGATCTCCCCATATCTTCAGTATGCTCGCCCTTTTCTCTTTGATATAGACTCCATTGGATGCTCCTCTTTGTGGTCACTCGATTGAGCTTCTCCATTTTTTCTATCTCCATTTTCTCTTAAAAGCTGTAAAAAAATAAACTGCAAGTATTTTCCTTGGAAAGATCAGTTTTCTGGTATCTTCCTTCAAATTATTTTTTTGATTCATTGAGCTTCTGTCTTTCTTCGTACTTTTCTGGAAGCTATCCTCTTCCACAAGATCCGAATTTCAGTCTGAAGTTTGCGTCAGCATTCTTACACTTTCAAGTCCAAGGGTAAATGAAGCTTTTGAAACTAGTTCAAACTTCTAATAGTCGTCACCATCTTCGCGCCCAAAGAAATAGCTTAGAAGTGTCATTAGCAGTGATTGGAATTGTCTCCATTGGTCATGGAGTGTTGGTTTTATACACACAGAGGTGACCGCAGTGAGCAGAACTCTCAATCATGGGCCTTCTAAAGCAGTTACTGTAAATTCACTTTGGGAATCAAAACAGTAAGACCTCAAAGTGTCCATCATCCATCAATAAAGTGACGGCTTTCTATATCTTCTCCACCTCCCTTTTAAATGGAATACTCTAGGACTAGACTAGAATTATTTACTATTACTTCTGCCTTTGTTTCATCATTTCCAATTGCAACTCACTGGCCCTTTACTAGAAAGTAGATCCACCTAATCAATGAAAACTCAGACCAAACTTGTCAATCCTTTGGGCAAAGGGATGCAGGACTTCTCATCCTTTAACTCATCAGAGTTCGCTAGCGAGCTTTTCTATTTCTCTTATGTTCTTAACTTGTTCTCTCTCTAGTCTTTGGCTAGTCAGTCCTTTTTATTTTTCTTGCAGTGCTAGATCTGTTTTTCAAGTGATGTGCATCTCCTTAAAAAACCTGTTCTTTCGGAAGATATCTATCTTTTTGTCCTGTATCATACACATTTATGCATATAACATTACAGTGACGGTCTAAATCTGATCCCAATAAAATTGGGTTGTTTACAGGAATCATTTTTGCAAATCCATTTGATTTAGTGCAACATCTATAAAAAGGTCTAATGGATTAGCAAATATATTGTTTCATGTTAATTTATGTCCACCTATACTTCTCATAATCAATTTTTCTAATGCTGTGAATGAGAGCTTTTTTATACAGATGCAATACTTGCCGAGTGTTCTTTTTGTTAATTTAGCCTCAATATGCTACTTGTATATGTCTTTATTTCACATTTTATCCCATTCTAATTTGGTCAATAATCATCTTAATGTCCTTACCTATCTAGTTGTCATTTTGCTTCATAATCCAGTTAAAGTTTCTACCATTATGTGGAACTTGTCTTTCAACTTGACAGGTATTTCCAATTAAGTAATATTCATGTTGCACTACTCGGTATGTCTAGCCCACTCGAATTTTATACATTCCATCTTTTTCACGTCTTTTTGTTAACAATCGAATCTAAATATCTAAAATAATCAATTTTTGGGACAGGATGATTTCTATAAAGGCGCTACCATGTTCTTTGGGACATGGCATCTTTGCCTCTTTTTTTTTTTTTTTTTGTTTGGTTTTTTTTCCCTTGTGTATACTTTAAAATTTTCACATTGACAGTGCAAAGAATATTTGCTCTTTTCTTACTGCATCCTTCATCCAGTTTTTACCAGAAAAAATGCTAAAGTTCCTTGCTGTATTATATTTTTCATCTTGTATACCGCTCTATTGGACTTCATGTGAGAATTTTCTTGTTTCCTCTTCTCAGATATCGTGCCATAACTAGTGCTTATTATCGAGGGGCTGTTGGTGCTTTGCTGGTATATGACGTGACTCGACGTCCTACCTTTGAGAGTGCTGTGAGATGGCTGAAAGAGCTGAGAGATCATACAGACCCGAATATGGTAGTAATGCTTATTGGCAACAAATCAGACCTACGACATCTGGTGGCCGTTTCAACTGAGGATGGTAAAGATTTTGCAGAGAGGGAGAGCCTCTACTTCATGGAAACTTCTGCATTGGAAGCAACTAACGTCGATAATGCATTTACTGAAGTCCTTACTCAGATATACAGGATTGTGAGAAAGAAGGCTGTCGAGGCTGGTGATGAGACTGCTACTTCGTCTGTTCCATCTAAAGGAGAGACGATTAATGTCAAAGATGATACTTCTACTTGGAAGAGACTAGGATGTTGTTCGAGCTAGGGAATAATTGCTCCTGCTGCGTCGTTTCTTGTACATTTTCTTCACATCATCTCTCTCTTCTGGTTTGTTTGTTCACTGTATTCTGTTGAAATATTGATTAGTACACTAGCCACAAAAATTGACTACAGGTATATTTCGTGGCTGCGAATGACGATATAGTTTGATTGGTTGGCTCATAGAATGTGAAGGCAATGTCTTCTACAATATGATCTGGACCATGGTTAGGGAAACCTTGACTTTCGATAAATGTTCGAGGCTTCGACTAATGTTGAGTACCTTTACATGATAAACCTCAACTAAAACTAAAAATTTATGAGTAATGATATTATACAATGTGGTTGCCGGGGGAGATTAAAATCGCTTCAATTTTAATATCAAATAGATGCTCTTGGAATGAAAATTTTTTCCATCTTCATAAATTAGACGGTTTTCTAATAACTAATGTAATATCATTTAACATTACTAGTGTTAACGTCAATTTAGATTATAACATTTGTGACATGAAAAATTGCGTTCAATGAAAAATAAAAATTTGTGGCCTAATTAATAAAAGTTGTTATATTCTAATACCTAAACTAGCATTTAACACTACTAGCATTAAATAACATTATTTGATAACTAACAATTTAAATATACGTCAATCAAGTTCATAATTTTCAGATGATATTTTGACTCCCATTAATTTTCATTCTATTACATTTCATTTTTTTTTCCTATTTTCAATCACAAAATCTTCCATAAAATAATATTACACTTAAATTGAAAATTTTTCCTTCATTTTTAACCACTCAGTTTTCAAATAAACGCTAGTCCACCCATTTTCATTTCCGAAAAAAGGGGCAAACGAGGTCAATTGATGATGTTGTGGCCAATGTCTGATTTAAGCTTTTTTAAGTCAACGGCGTAGTATGAATAAAACAGGCTGATAGTGGTGCAAGAAAAGAGTTGAAATTTTTGTTTTCTGGTCACGTGTTACGTTTAATGGGACCACTCGATGGGACAACACGTAGGTATATTACAAACGTTCTTTCGAGAAGAATATATAAACTTGGTCGGCTAGAATTAACATTTGAACAAATTATTTCACCATGAAATTTATGCTTGTGACATTTTTCTTAGTTATAATCCACAGTCTTGATGAATTATATGAAGGAAAAGGGTAAGATAACTCGATAAATTAGTTAACCAAATAAAAAGGTTGAACTAAATTTACTTGATAAAAATAAAAGTAACAAAGTGAGATAAAATAAACTTGCCTTCAACACACATTAATGAAAATATCTAAAACTTTGAGCTCAAAAATAACAGATGATTGTCTACAAAATGCTTAGATCTCAAACATTTCTAGTACTGCTTTCAAATTAATTTGTAATGTTGGACGACTTATTGAGGATAACTCCTTCATATTTAACCTGGAACCACTTCATTGCATCCTCCTTTGTGACCCTGTGCTGAATTCCAACACGAGATTTGCATCTACGACGACGGCCCACACGGTAACCAGGGCGCTCCAAAACAACGTAGAAATCCATGCCATAAATTCCAGTTGATGGGTCATACCTGGAAAATTCATAGACAACGATAACTTGTTTAATGATGATCTCTTTAAGAAATTTGTTGATTGGGAGGGGAACTGAGCCTAACCTCTAGCTAATGAAACCAATACAATAAAACTTGCCAAATCGAAATGACCAGGTGTAAAAGAAAATATAATGAAAGGGGCTTCAAGGCCCATATGCTACAGACATCCAACCCTAGACCAACATCTAGTAGTAATATCGTGATGAGATGTAATTTTCGTGGGTTCCATGTTGGTATTGGGGTGATGTATGGGTCGAAAGAACATATTTATGCACTGAAACAAGATTTCAACCCATTGCAAGACCATGCGCTCACGATTATTCACAGACCACCAAACTGAACACCAAATAGCTCACGTGACACGGTGTCAAGGACCGCAGCTTTACTTAGCCCCTTGACACTATCGCAGCCGCAGTTTGCCCAACTTCGGCCGCACATTGTAAATATTACTTCAAGTTTGAGTTGTAATTTTCGTTTCATTGTAATAGTTATTTTAATTGTAAAATAGCTCTGATATTGGTAAAAGATTAGTATGATTCCTCGTCTTTTAAACGTCTACTCCCGTCACTTGGGTTTTTGTTCAGAATGTTATTATAGGGGGTATTAGTCATTCAAAAATCTTTCAAGCTCACTGGTGTCCGCCCCCTGCACCAGCATTTGTAATTTTCTGCTTTCATCAATTGTAATGTTCAGTTTTCAGCAATCAATGTTCAATTTACTTTCAATGTATTCAAATTCTCAATTGTAAGTTTTCTACAAAATTGCAATCAAATTTTCTTTCGTCCCGACGCGACCGAGAAAAGGCGGAAGGTAGTCTAGCGGAGCAGACTACTGCCGCACGGTGTCCCTTTCTGTGCCAAGAAGAAAGGCACCCCGTGAACATAAAGCAAAGCAGTATATTATCAATTACTAACATAAATCATTCGCAGACAGTAAAGCTACTACAAATAATAGAATTTCATTTCAGAAGCCCCTACAATGTAGATTCAGAATTTGAGAAACTTACCCTTAGAGAAAACAGGAGATTGGCTACTGAGTTGTTCTAAAACCTGAAAAATGAAAAATAAAAACAAATTGAGCTCAAATTCCAAAATATTCAATAAATAGAATTGTTGGGGGGGGGGGGGGGTGGTATTATACCTTAGCGGCTCTGGTAAGACGATCTCCACTCTCGCCAACGGAGATGTTGAGGACAAGCTTCTGTACTTTGATCTCTCTCATTGGGTTCGACAGCTTCTTCTCTGACGCCTGTTTCACACATTTAAACACAGACAGAGAATCACTGATGCGCTGAGATTCATATATGTATGTTCGAAGCAAATGTAGAGAGAGAATGACAGCAGTGAGATAGAGACCATAGCGGAGCCGTGGTTGTGATGAGGTTCTCGGCCGCCGGACGACTGGGGAATATGATGAAGTGACAAAGCCCCAACAAGTATAATATTAGATAGGAGCTAGGGTTTCTCATGCGTTTTGCTTGGATATTGAAATGTCAGTTTTATCCCTGTGAATTAGGGATGTTAATGGGCCCCACTGGTCCGGCCCATTGATATGGTCTAGTCAGGGTCATCCAATTTTTCAGGACAAAAAATTCAGACATACAAATTAAGCCCCTGTTTGACCCCCATTACAGGGAAAATTTAATGTATAGAATAGTATTTTTTGAAAAATTAGTGGCTGAAAAAGAAAGAAAAATTTTCGATTTACGTGTAATATTATTTTATGGAAGATTGTGTGGTTGAAAATAGGAGAGAGAAAAATAGAATGTAATGTAATGTAATGAAAATCAAACAGGGGCTAAATATCACTCATTTCAAAATTATAAATAAAAGTTTTAAATTTCAATAATAAGATATTAATTAAAATTTACTTATGATTTAATTAATTAGTTATATATTTTATTAATTAAATATATTAAAGTCACAAATCCATACAATTGGTCACAAATTAACGATTTAATTAGTCATATATTTCACAAATCAGAATTTTTACATGTCACAAATTATTTTATAATCACTATTTAAAAATTTTATAGGTCATAATTTATTTATCGATCACAAATCAAAATTTTATAAGTTACAATTTATTTATTGATCACAAATCACAAATACTATGAGTCACAAATTATCAAAGTTTAGTTCACAAATTAACAATCTTTTAGATTACACATTATTTTTTGTCATGATTTATCTTTATCATTAGTCATATATTATTTACTGATCACAAATTAACTAATTTAATGGTCACAATAAACCAAATATTATGACCATCTCACCACTATCACCAGGGGCGAACCCACATGGGGTCATGCGGGGTCAAATGACCCCACAGTTTTTTTTTATTTTTATTTTAAAACGGTTATCCATGAACATTTGGGGGTTCCAATTAATTCCTAGTTAGCTAGCCCAATGCCGAGAATCCATCATCCATATCCATATGATCCAATGACTCCAATCCATTATCCATATCCATTAATCCATAGTCCATAGATGATAGGCCTAAGACCATAATCCACTCTCCACTCCATTGTCTCCCCACCGATTTCTGATGAGAAAAGTGTAGGAAAATCTGAAAATTTAAAGAACTCCAAGACACGAAAAACGTTATCTTTTAAGAGATGTTTCTTCCTTATCCAACGAAGTCACGACTGGGGTATGATAGAAAATCTCTCTTAGGATACAATGAAGACGTTTGATTCAAATTGTGACTATTTGATCAAACCAAGAAGACACTCGAAAAAGAACTGATGATGCCAAGAGAAAGAGAGAAGAATATTTTTTAATGTGTTTTGCAAACGAGAATTCGCTTAGAATTTATAGAAATTGAGGCAATCATTTGAATAGGTGTGTCCCTTGAAATGAAGAACACATATGTTGGAAGTAGCAGTCAAAACGAACAGATGCACCTATTCAAAGACTTTTGAAAATAAAATTCTCTTTCGGGGGCGTTGCCCCCTCGACTCCCGCGACCTGATCGGGCAGGTCGATCCCTGTTGCACAACGACAAACACTAGTCGAGACGACAAATCATTCGCAAAACAAAAAAAATAAATACATGCAAAATGATGAAAAATATCTAACAATTTCTTCCCAAACAGCAACGGCGCAGCCGCGAAGGGCGAAGCCTTCATTTTTGACCCCACAGTTCGAAATCTCTGGATCCGCCCCTGACTATCACCAACGCATCGCCACCAAAATCGCCTCCCTAGAACCACCCCCACCCCCAATCAAATCAACACATCGTAAAAAAACACCACCACATCGTTACGTCAGATCTACCACCACCTTGAAAGACCCCTATCACCACCAATATATCACCATCATCATCGCCACTGCACTATCACCAACAAAAACCATATGAAAACCCCAACACCACCAAAAAATCACCAACACCCATCTAATAGCCAAAGAAATATCACTACCACCGCAATTTGCGCCTACTGCAGCTGGGATCCACTTCACCGTCATTGCCACAGTCACCCAACCACCAACAACAACAAAACCCGCCCTAAAACTTCAACACCATGAAAACGTGGAAAACCACCAACACCTTCCAACAACAACAAAAATCATCACCACCACCACGATCTGCAACATTTCAACCGTGATCTGGACCGCTAAAGGTGAGATCTATATCTCAACTTCTCTGTGCACTGGTCGTCGCTACACAGCTTTGCTTTGCACTGGCTCTAAGCAAAAAGAGCCGTTGTGCAACCCGAAATTCAATGTTGACAGGGATGGCTTTACCGGCGATGGTGCCTTGAGCACAGTTTGTGAGCGTCTTCGCAACGGTCACAGCGATGGTGGTGGCATCTTCACATTGACAACGACAGTGACGTCTTCGTGAGAGAAGAGATAAGTGAGGGATAGAGAGAGAAAATGAAAGGGGAAATTAATCAGGGTTTGTGATTAAATTTGTATTATAATTTTAGATATTTAAATATGAAATATTTGATTTTTAAATAATGAAACATTCGCTCTAATTTAAGAATATTGATCTTCAAATAGGATGTGATTGCTTTTTCAAGGTCTGGCCTACAGGCCCTATAACGTACAAGTTCTGTCGAGTAGTCTGTTGAAATTTCTTTTTAACAAAGACAGCATTTTAATAAATTATATAGGATTGGCCCTATTATAGTGGTTGAACCTACACTTCAGCCCCAGTTAGGCCCATAGATTTCTTTTATTGGGCAAGCTTCGGCCCGTGGCCCATATGAATACAGTGCTAAGACCCAATGAACTTTTACAAATCAATCCATCTAAAGGTTTGAACTCATCAATAACTTTATTGGCAAGCCCCATTTTTTTGGGGACGAGCCAATTCCAAGCTCGAATCAAACCCATAAAGCTCGAGCCTTTTTTTGTGATGAGACAATGTTGAACCCCCAAGCTTGGGTTCGCAAGCTGACTCGTCTCGTTTCATCTCGTTGACACCACTATTTATTGGTCAATTGTATCATTTTTTGGGAGGATTTTATTTTTCTGGACTTTCATTTTTCAAATGTTGTCCATATTAGTGAAAACACACACGATCTTTCCAAATTCATGAGCAAAATTGAACAATAAGGGCCGAAAATTTTGCAACTGAGAGACAATTTCATTGGACATGGTAATTACAATGATGGATGAGATAATCATTCAATAAGTTCATCAAGTCTATTTACTTTTAAAACAATGGGTGACGGTTCAACATCAACTCTAATAACTTTTAAAGTTCAATAGCAACTTGGAAACATTTAGAAATTTGATTTTGAGAAAGTTAAATTGCAACAGAAATTTCCATATGCAACCTATGTAAGATTTCTACAGTTAATAGAAAGAACCAAAAAATATTAGTAAATTTTGTATTAGCTTTCAGAAGGTAACATGTTAGCACAAACATGATGGTCATTTAAGTGACGTCACAAAACTATGCTGAGCCCTCCTGCAGCGGTTCCGTTCAGAAATCTTCCTGACCAGACACGAATAATATGATCAGTTGGACTCTTACATTTGACTACAACAATGTACAAAAGCATCTAAATTTGTTTAGCTAACACAACAATGTCGAAAGATTCCACCGACTTTCACGTTAAGCCCAGCAGTCACCACGAAACATTTCGAGTGGTCAGAAACCACTGCTCCTGGCCAAAATGTGCATAATATTAGTGAGAGGGCCTTCCTGCTGCTACATGTCCACCAACAAATTAGGTTGCACCAATGTAATCACGTCCCTGCTGGATGGAGAAAGTTCACACCAGCTTGCTGTCGAACATGCTCAGGTATCAGCCGGTTTATCAACTCGGGCGATGTTCCAGCTAACTGCAATGCGGATATTTTGGTGTTAAGATAACAGATAAATACATGCTAGAGTGGGTTGCAGGTCATAGATTTGTTTTCCAATCTCCAACCACCATGGAAGGATATGGTTTGACTAACAATTGGACATAAAAGAAGAAATATCCCGGGCTCTAGACTTCAGTTATAGACCACAAAATTGGAAGCAGCAGGCAGAAAACAATCAAGGCTCTAGGTTATGAAGAACATCTCCACAAATCCATTAGATAATCAAATGCAACCCAATTCTACTGTTAAAGCAACCTTTGGATCCCTACTTTCGTTGTCGTAAAAGCCAATAATTATACGCTTCAGATTATATCAAATTAAAATGGAAATTCTGCATATTTAAGCAAATTATCAACACAGATGACTTGATAACCACAACCAAGTGGAATTATTAAACAAGATAAAAATGTCAAATGCAGTGAATGCAGTGTTTGTCAAGGATGCATCACAAGTTCATCTGCAAATATATGAACAATGGATTGGCAAATGCAGTCTGTCCAGGAAGCATCACAAGTTCATATATGGGCAGTGCATAGGCAAATGATAAACATGATACAAAATTTACATATATTTGCCAAATATTGGAAGAACTCAAGTAATTTGCTAATTGTGGCTAAACTTCCGTCATTATCTAATGCCGGTAGTTATAAATTTAAAATCATAGAATCAATTCAAATTTCAAATCTTAATCATAAATGGAAAACAAAGTTTTACCAAACAACACAAACTCTAACCTTAATGTTGCGTTTACCCTATCTCTAAAATTTAGAAACAGAAAGATGATCCTATTCAAGTTAGTTCAGAAATAAGGAAAGCGAAAAAAAAAAAAAAAACAAAAAAACAAAAAAAAAAAAAACAAAAACAAAAACAAAAAAAAAAAAAAAAAAAAACTATTTAAATTAAAAAAAAA